ACATCGCAATCCATGCACCGCCCCATCGAGCAGCCCAATTTATAAACCGGAAGGGCTACTAGTCCATGGTGCTGCAGGCCCTGGTCGATCACCGGGGACACTTTATGGACATTTGTGTCAGGTGGTCGGGGCGGGCACGTGATGCCCGTCATAAGTGTGCGCAGGGGTATCTGGGTGTGCCCAGGAACATTTGTGCTAATGTCTCAAAAAAAAGTGGCTTTGGGTTTTAATTTAATCACACGATACGCTCTTTAAGTTTTAAAGTATGGATTGTTGTATTATGCAATAAGCGCCAAAGATAGAAATGTACAGAGAGCCTGCATTTGCTCACAGCATGTCCTTTATGATTGAGTATTCAATAAATGTTTGCCTTTAAAAAAAATAAAAAATAAAATTCCCTGGGTGCACACCCTAATGAAATGTACTGCACATGCCTATGATGCCTGTATATTCCGGAACTCCTACCTGTACCACAGGTCTGGCACTTGGAGACATGCAGATGCTGGTGTCCATAGTGGCCGACGCAGCCTACCCCCTGATGCCGTGGCTCATGAAGCCCTACACCGGCCACCTGGATGCAAGCAAGGAGCTTTTCAACATGCATCTTAGCCAGAAGAAAAGTAGGTTCCGTTGCCTCCTCACACGGCTGGAGATGGGCAAACGCAGCATCCCGTAGGTAGTGGCCGCATGTTGCGCTCTCCATAACCTGGTGGAGAGGAAAGGGGAGGCCTTCCTGCCAGGGAGGGGGACAGGTGCTGATGGCGAGGACAGGCCATTTCAGCAGCCCCGGACGGCTGCCATCCGCCATGCTGATGTCCAAACCCAAGGCGCCCTGAGGGAGAAATTCTCAGAAGGAGCCCACTGATTCTCCCCATGGCCTCCCCCACGGGGGGTTTGGCCTGACCCACCCCACCTGTCCCTCCACTACCCTCACCCTCTTCCCATAAAGAATACATACACAGCCTGTTTTCTTTATACACAGACATTAATTTTGTATTAGAAATACTATCTGTAAAGAAAATGGGCCGTTTAAAAAAGAATTCTCTGTGTACTGTTCAAATGTGTAAAGGTAAATCTTTCACTCAAAAAATAAAGATTTTGTTATATAACTGAAGTGACCTTTAACAGGGGTGGTAGGGGACTGAAAACCTGGAGGGGGAGGGGGGCTCAAGTAGGCCGCTGCTTCCCTGATCGCAGGGTCCTGCCACCTTCCTGTGTCCTGGAATCGCCACACCCTTGGGGAGGAGCTGGGGGAAAGGGGACACAGCGGGGAACTGGAGACTGGAGGAGCAGGGGGAGCAGGGACCTGGCGTGCAGGAGGAGCGGTGCCTGTGACAGGAGCAGGCAAGTTGAAGACCTCCCTCATTGTGGCACAGGTGGCAGTGCACTGCTGGACTAGCTTGTCCAGCACCTTGGTGCGCCACTCGGCCTCTGCCTGCATCCTCTGCTGGAGGGTCCTGTTGAGGTCGTGCAGGGCCACAACGTGCTCCCTCAGTAGGTCCATGTACATACGCCAGTGCCTGCGGGTGCCACGGGTCCGGGATGGTGGTGGGGCAGGTGTGGAGCTCCCCTGTTGGGTAGAGGGTCCGGCTATGGAGGAAAACAGGAGGAGACAATCAATGTCTGTGTGCTCCCCTGCTGCTGCCGAGGGCATGCCGTGGCTGTCAGGGGTTCTCCTTTGGACAGGAGACTTGTGGGTGTTACACATGACACTGCGTGTGAGTTGGGCAGCAGCCTGAAAGCCTCACAGGGGCTGCACAGTGGCAATGGCGCTAGCTGGCCTCCCACACTGCCAACCCGCCCATGTGTGATGACCCCTCAAAGCACTCACCTGATGTTCCCTCCCCGATGTCCACGGACACCTGGGAGGCCTCTGGGGTCTGGATCTCTGCTGCCTCCTCTTCTTAATCCTCCTGGTGCAGCTCTCTCACCTCTCATGGCTGGTCTTCCTCCCTCAGGAGTGGAGTCTGGGCTTTCCCACTGCCCAGGATCTGCTCCAACTCCTTGTAGTAAGGGCAGGTCTCAGGGGCTGCCCCGGAGAGGGAGCTCTGGTCCTGGGCCCTGGCATATCCCTGCCACAGCTCCTTTACCTTGGCCCTCACTTCTGCCATGGTGCTGGAGAGTCCCTGGGCCAGGTGCTCATAAATGTCCCCATTCCTGCGGCATGTTTGCAGGGCCTGCAGGGCTTCTTCCTGGGACCAGAGCTCCAGGAGGTTTTTGATTTCTGGCCCTGACCAGGCTGGTGCCCACCTTTTGGTACCCCTGGGTAGGTCCTCCTCTCTGTCCCGAGAAGGGCCAGGGGGACCTTGAGGCTGGGACATGGCTGTCATGGGTGCTCTGGCTAGTTGCCGGACAGCAAGGCCACTATGGGTGCCTGTGCCTTCAAGAGGTTGTGGCCAGGAACCACAGAGGTGCTGTACCTGTAAAGGCTAGACTGTCCACCAAGGCTTCTTCCTGGAGGCCTTTTTTGTTGACAGAACTGGCTCCCTGCTTCTACACACACCTTTAGTCAACAGATCTGTAGCGAGGAAAGACTCTGGCAGGAGGGAGGCAGGGGAAAAGGGTCTCCTTATTGCCTCCCTTCTGCAAGGGTCTTTGGCTGCTGCTAAAGTGTTTTCCTTGAAATGGGGGAAGGCTCTAGCTGCAAGGGAATAGTGGAATGTTTCACTGCTTAAAATAGCAGTGTAGATATGGGGCACTGCTTGGGCAAGTGGAAAGCCATGTAGGGTACACACCCATAGGCATCAAGTGCCTCTTTACTCTCCTAAGCAGTGCCTCACCACCTACACAGCTATTTATATCCACGTATATACTGTACACACTGCTATAACAAATGCACACCGTAGCTATACACAAAATATCTAGCCCATCCAGCATATTGAAAAGTCAGCAACTTCCTTCTTTAGAAGAAAGGACCCACATTTGTTAAAGGGTGTTTTAAAACCACCCATGGATTTTTTCTAATTTCTCCTTGCTCCACTCTGTTCTTCAGTTCATCTAGCCCATACCCCTGAATAGACACATCTCAAGCACTGATTAATCAAATAAATTACTTCTTTGCAGTACCTTCAGTCTGTAATGGCCTTCCTGAATCTCTGTCCTCATTTATTCTCTGATTTCAAACTCAGCTGAATTCATATCTTTTCTCCTTTGTCTATCCTCACATTATTTAACTCTGTAAACCATTTACAGAGAAATAGATAGCATGAAAGAGGCTATACACAACTATGTTGTCTTGCTCTATACATTATGAAGAATTGGGAATGTTTAGAAAAGAGAAGACTAAGAGGGGACATGATAGTGGTTTTCAAATATCTAAAAGGGTGTTACAAGGCAGAAGGAGAAAAATTGTTCTCCTTGGCCTCTGATGATAGGACAAGAAGCAATGGGCTTAAACTGCAGCAAGGGAAGTTTCGGTTGGACATTAGGAAAGACTTCCTAACTGTCAGGGTGGTTAAACACTGGAATAAATTGCTTAGGGAAGTTGTGGAATCTCTATCACTGGAGATATTCAAGAGCAGGTTAGACAGACACCTGTCAGGGATTATCTAGAAGGTGCTTGGTCCTGCCACGAGGGCAGGGGACTAGACTTGAGATCCCTTCCAGTTCTAGTGTTCTGTGATTGTTAGTTACTATCAGAGGGAATTTTAGGGGGGTTATTCTGTTTAATCATTTTGTAATAATTTTTGAGCTACTGCTCCATGAATTTGTAAAAAGGAAAATGTTTTCTTTATTCTGAACATGCCAACTTAAGTTCTCAAGAACCACATTAAAGTCTATAATTAGATAAGACATAGGAAGTACCATATGATAGCAGGCCAATCATCCTTCTAATCTGTTTTCAACTTTGGGCTAATGCCAGATGTTTCCAAAAAAACGTATGCAATAAACTAACAATAAAATTGTTTAAATGAAAAATCAGTTTCTCAATTCAAATGTATCTAAAATACTTTTTTAATCTTGCTTAAATTCACAAATGATACAATATTGAAGTGTTTTTAAACATACTGTACAATCATGTCAGTTCAATGTTTTACATCAAGGCACAGCACACCATATTTTACAGATATGCCTTGATAGGCAGCAATTTTGTGTAATCCCCGAGATTTGGCAGTATTGCCCAGATAAATAGCATGGGTCACATTTCACATATATGCTAGAAGATAGATAAATAAATAATAGATGCTATCACATTTTATTTGAAATAGAATTGCATATAAAAAGAATATACAATAATTTAACTGGAGTAATTAGATTCTTTTGTACTACACATAACAGAAGTGCTTTCATTTGTTTTTAACAAAACATTTCCAAATATTAGGAGGATGCAAAAAAAAAAAGAGTCTTCTGTTTGGCTTTATTGATTTATGGAGAAGAGTTGCTTTCATTAGAAACAAAAGGGAGTTAACATTTCTATTTCATGGCAATCTGAAATAAAGAAAGAAATACAAAATTACCAAAATATTGACATTGAAATATTTATTTTGGTACAATGCATAGCTATCCACTGATAACAAACTATTTCTTGAACCAACTGGCTTTGTCTTATAAGGTGATCTGGCATTCATTACAACGGATTATTTAAACTTTTCATTTTACTTTGAAAAGAAAAAGAGTGGATGAACTATTTAAATTATGTATACCTAGATTTGTAACACACATTTGTATTCACTATTATGGTTTACTTCTAGGATCTAGAAAACAAATATATTATTCATCTAAACAGGAATTGTCAGTAAGATATTAATAATGATAACATTACCAAAGGATGTCTAGATTCTACATATATTGCAGTGTGTTTACCATATTCCACATGTCATCCAGATGTTTATATTTGAACATTTCTTCTTCGCCTGCCAAAAGCTTTAGATCCCACATTGGTAGGTACAAAGTTGTTCTTGCCAACTCCTCCTGACCTGCTGAGGAAGTCTGCTAGACGGTGGGTCACACAGGTTGCTGTGTTGCATGCCCTTTTCTGTGCTGTTACACTGCTTTTCAAAATAAAATAAAAATAAAAACACTTTAAAATCAATAAAATGTAGTTTTACCTGAAAAAATATATCTATAAAAATGCAATTGTAGAGTCCCATATTTATTGCATCTCAAGGATTTGTATATTGTACACTTAGTTTAAAAGTTAAAAATGTTTCTTTTTCTAGCTACAGACTCAACTCAGGTTGTGAAATTCAAACTAGGCTCTTTCTTTCTTATCCATGTCACCAATAGTTAAAGTTCTGTAGACAAAATATGCCCTCAACAATTGATCAACTCCATTCCCACCAACAGACTTAATAGACAACTGTTGATAATGCATAAGTAGTAAAATAATCTAGCTAGGCCTCACCTAGGTAGGTTCTGTAGTGCTGATGGAGTAACATAGCAAAAACTTAGAGTAAGAAGGTGCTACATTTTAAAAATAATTTTCCAGTCATTTTTCTTCTTTCATATATCTGATTGCAGTATTTAAATAGCTTAGTTCTTTATTTAGGCATTCACAGAGCAGAGCAATAATCATTTTAGTGATCCTATTGACTTTAATGGGGCTATTCACTAGCTTAGCATTAAGCACATGCTTAGGTGTTTTGCTGGATTGGAACCTTAGAGAACATGCTTTTATAGTCTTTATTCAAGCTAATCTCCTACTGATATAAATGGAAATGTTGCCTGAGTTAGGACCATAGAAACAGTACCATAGAAGAATTTTGGAGGGATAGCCATGTTAATGTTTCAGCAAAAACAACGAGGCACCTAACAATGGGTTCCTGCCCATGAAAGCTTATGTCCCAATAAATGACTCCAGCTCATCTAATGAAATGGGTTTTGTCCACGAAAGCTTATTATACTATATATTTGTATTAGTCTCCAAGGTGCCACAGCACTACTACTTGTGTCCAAATACAATTGTTTTCTGAACAGTTCCCTTGTTGTAAATATATGCTCTACGGGTGGGGGGGGGGAGAGGAGAGAGTTAAAGATGTACAAAAGCAGCACTAAATCTAAAAATCATTGTATTCAATTAACAGAAAACAAGATTTTAAATGATTTACCCAGACATAAAAGGTCCCCCTTTTCAATCTTTTAATATATAAGTCTCTCACAGGTAATTTCTAAAACTACTATACATGGTAAAAAAAGAAACAGTGATCCATGTTAATACATCACTGTAAAGACTTTTCATGTAAACAATTTTAAGGAAAATGAAAAAGAAATATTAACATTCTTACCTGGATGAATTCAATGAGAAGAGATTACAATCTAGATTACATTTCTAGTGTTTTCACACTAATTAATATATGCATTTCTTGATGCTTAGCCATTTCAACAGTTCATACAAGTGACTAATTATATATGCATACATACATATAGAACGCGGTTAAAAGTGTTAGGGGTTCTCCCACTATATAAGAACATAGTACAACAGTTCAACTATTCTGGAATTAAATTATTATACAACTTTTGTTCTACTCTTCTTCATTTCTGAAAAGATTAGTAAAATTTTCCTGGCTTTGTCTAGCAAGCTTGCATTCCAACACAAATAAAACAATAGGCCTAATCCTCATAGAAAAATAGGTTTATTGAACAAGTGCATGAGCAGGCATGAAAGAAGAGTTTATCTGTACATGTAATAGCCAGAAATGAAAAGCTTTCTTTAGATTTTTTTAAATAGATGCCTAAGAAAATCATTTGAAATCTCAAGGCAATGCTGTTAATTATTTTTATTTGGTGTATACCGGTAGTTTTTTTTTCTAACTTGGTATGTGTGTAATGTTCTTTATCTTCCTAATTTTAAGTCCATCTCAGACATTCTCTGTCAAAAACAGGATCAAAATAACATAGCAAAATTAGCAATCAAGGTTAGATCCACATGCATCAAGTTAAAAAAAAAGGAGAAAGGTGGAAATAAGCATGTCTAGTTGTTTCCCAGGGATTCCCCATAGTTTGCATAGCGTTCATTTTCCAGGTCACTCAGCACATTCCTTTTCTTGCCAGGAGTTCCAGCCCCGACGTCAGTACGAGGGTAAGTTTGCAATTTGTGCAATTCTTGAGACAGTTTGCCCAGCACACAAGTACTCAGACTGGCACAGCGTTTGGAAATAGGTCTATCCAGGCTGCAAGGGGAAAAAACATGCCAAAAAAGTAATATAAATCATGCATACTCATGCATTACATACCTAGATAAAAATTATAATTAGGAGACGAAAAGAAAAGAAAAAGTCCCCTCAGACTCATGTCATGCAAAGGGGGAAGGATGCCATACACATAAAATCAGAGTAACAACAGAGGTTTATCATAAACAAAATGAATATTGTTTACTTATCAAGCAAATTGATTAGATTTTTTGGATGCTGGTTGTCAAAGAATAGGAGATTTATCTTCTAATGTCGTAGACATGCTGTTCAGTCTCTCATTCATTAACATGCTTTGCAATAGAAATTCATTGTGTTTAATGCAAATGTACTTGCATGCCTTGGCCCTGAGGGAAAGGGTGGCGCTGCGTGCACTATTAGGATGCCCCAGCTTCAGCCAATGGCCTTCCATGCCTCAGGACAGCATGCACTATCGTGACAGAGAATCCAGGAGCCATCGAATAGCCCTCAATACTACATCAGGAAAACATACCTCTTGCTGCCATATTTTAATACAACCCCCTCCATGATGTTCAACTCACCCTCCAACGGCTTTTTTTTTTAATTGTCTCTTGATTGCAAAAACAGATAAAAGCAAGTTAACTAAGTGGAAACCATCCTCCTGATACTGACACAGGAAAACATTTCTGCAGTACTATCCCCTCCCAAGTATTGTACAAGGTCATCTGCAGTCCCAAGGGAGAGGAAAATCTTAGCCTGCCTGAGTGTCTGCTGAGATGGCTCTTGTGGGAAATCAAATGCATACACAGGGTGATTCCGCTTCCCCAGGATCTGTGCATATCCTCAGAGCAGTAGCCCTTACCTGTTCCCCTCACTCGCCTGTTCCAGTTCTTCCGCTGTCATCTGAACAAATTCTTTTACCAATGCATTTAATAACCTTCGAGCTTCATAATCACTGAGCGTCACTCGATCTGTTATAGAGTCTAAGCCAGGTCTATGTGGAGACAAGCAAGACAGCATGAATACAGCTCAGTCCCCTGCACAGTAGATAAGTAATCTATTGCATGTTAAAATATGAGCTTGCCAAAAAGGCTAAATTTCCTCCTCCTACTTTCTCCTTTACTATAATCCACTTCTTATATGCCACCATGAAAGAAAACTAAATATCTCCATTCTGTTCAGATTCAATGCTCTGAAACTCATGAGTGTTCACAACTCTCTGGTTCTTACCTGAGTGGAGTTGCCTGGGAGCTATCCATCTGGCACATAACCAAGGCATAAACCGCAAGGAACGATGAAATCTTCAGCATAACCATAATGTCCTCTCTACAACAAAGAGTCACATTAAACAATGGCCATTTTCCAACCTCCTCAATCTTATCAGATCTACTAAAAATGCCATCTTTCTTTAGGCACACTTAGTAGTAAGCTGTTAATTTGCTTTGGTTTTTTTTGCTTTAGTTTTTTTAAAAATAATATTCAGGATTTTTTATATGATCAAATGTAATAGTTGAAGTTTTTCAGAATTAGGATTTTGATCAAGATATAACTAAAATTGGATTTAAATTAATGCAGGTCTTTCTATAAGCTGATGGGAAACATGTCCCTTCTACCCAGTAGTTGAAGAACTACACTTAATTCCATACATTTAATGCCTCCAAGCTAACTGGACAAAATGGCATTTCAGGTACTATAAATCTTATTAAAAAAGTATCAAAACTAAATTATAGTCATGTTTAAAATATAAATATGACCAATACTTTTCTGTAGTCTCATTTTTGCAGAAGATTAATACATTTGAATTACTCTGTTTAATTTTAAATTCAAAAATAATTGAGCTTGTTTAGAAATCAGTACATTAAAGACTGCTTACTTCTTTTATACAGTTTACACACTAATCTTCAAACTCAAATACAGATTAGATAAAATTATTAAAATGTTCCCTTTAAATTAATTTTAATAAAAATCCCAAAAATGTGACTGAAGATAAATCTCTCAAATGAACTCAAGTCAAGAGAGTAGAAAAATTAACTTATATCTTGAAGAACTTCTGACACATAACTTTATTTAAACATCTTTAGACTAACTTCACTTTTCACTCATAAATTAAAACACCTATTACAACCTATAGCATATATTGTTAGCTAACATACGATGAAGGTTGTAATTTTCGTCCATTTTATAACAGATTTTACGAAAAGCTCACAATGATTACAAAAGAAAAAAAGTTATGCAGCCCAGTAATGTAGAGACTAGTGTTGTTTCATATAAAAAGTATGATAATATTCCGTATCAATTGCTTTTAATTATTGCAATGGGATTGTGCATTTCTTTATCTTCGTATTTTAAATGTATTTTATTTTGAGAAAGTCAGCAACGCATACGCAATCTAGCAGATTCAAAACTATGCGTTCTCTGAACGCACCGAGAAAACAAATTAAAATAATGAAAGGCATCACAAGCTTTAACAGCATCAGCTAAAGACCTTCTTGAGCACACGTACAGCTTCAAACACGGCAGATTCTTTTTCTTAAATCTAGAGTTAAACCAAACTCTAGATTTAAGAAAAGAATAAGAAAATGCGTGCTTACCTTGAAATGCAAAGCTTGTTCAGTAACAGCGAAACGTGGTGGAGGTTTCCTCAATATATGTTTCTAAATCGTGATGCTGTTCAATGCCCAAGTACCCTCCTTTTATATCTACCGCCAGGGTAAAAATGTGTAGGCGTTTGACCGGCACTAGCCAGCCAATCACAAGGTCTGTTAGCAAAATGCAGCCAATCCACAACTGGGCACGAAACCCACAGCTCTCGAATTACGTCATCCTCCGGTCACCGAGTATTCCATTCACAAAATTTGCTAGTCAGTTGGCTCCATGCGATAGGTTTATTTGCACTGAGGTCACCGAACCCCCCTCCTCCAGGAAAGAGGGTTCACATCAGACGATTAATGAAATCGTCTCGAGTCATTAATAATGTCCAGTCCACCTCCTTACCCCCTCAAAAAGTACCACATCTTTTTCATGAAAAATTCAAAGGATAGGTTATTTACTTATTAGAAGCGACATCTACTGCAAAAAATACCGCATTGCAGACAGAATAAAGGACCGTGAACAATAATCTTTAGTCTGCAAATGGGTAGCTACCGTAATGTAATTGCATACATGGAATACGGCAATTTAATATTTATTATTTACGAACATATTATAATAGTATAATTGTATGTTTCGCTACGAAGTACAACATCAATGAACAAACTACTTCACTAGTCCCCTAATGAATGGGAATTTGTATGTTATTAAATAAGCTTAATTCTATCGATTACGAATATATTATCCGGAACAAATAAGTTTGTTATGCTTATCATATTAGAAAAGTTTCCCTTTGGTATCTTGAAGTCGATCCTTCAAAGCTTTACTCACTTGGGTAGTTCCTCTGACCTCAAAGGACTAAGTTTTCAGGTTCCAGCCTTTGATTGCCAAGTTAGGATAGTTTCCATAGTCCCTGGTATCTAGTGTACATTTGTATTTGGCCAAGTGTACGGGAGAGAAGGGGAAAATGTAAACTAACTTAAATTAAAAATCACACATTAATGGAAAGCACAGAGCCCACTGAAATTAATGCGAATCTTCGTTCTGATTTCAGTGTATGTTAAATCAGGCCTTCCTTCTATAATGAAGAAAAGTGACTCTCTGTCCACCACGAAGAACAATTTCCATTTTTCCTCTCTTCTACAAGTCTCCGCCATGAGGAAGTCTTCTTCACGCAGCATAGTTCGCATTCTTAACTTTGCAATGAAAACTAACTTGAGAGTTAAACCTCAAGCATCTTGTAAAATAATTATTCTTTGACCATTACATTCACTTTCCACCGGGTGTGAGATCAAGAATTGTATGTATCTCCGGAGTTACATGAAGAATAGCGCAACCTAGCGGAGTAGGCAGATTTGTGGGAAACTGCTCTGAAGAAAGATGCTGATTAAGACTGAGGAGACACGAGACTGCTTCCCTTCCCTACAGGGACTTCTATTCAAAGCTAATAGTTGCATGGTGACCATTCACTCTTCTCTGGTTGTTCATTGAACAGGACTGGTTTAGATTGGGGTTTGGGATGCATTCTTTAGAGGACAGTTTTTACATGCATTGAATCGAACAGGATTCAGTGAAAATTTTACTTGCATTGTCTTCTGCGACACGCATTTCAGAGTCGTAGTTTATTTACTATACACCCAAGAGGAAATGTACCCGGAACTACTGGTTTACCGACGGTAGCACCTGATATTGAGAAGTAACGTACTAACCCATCTCTATTTCGCAGAAAGTGTACAAACAGTGGGACTGGCCCGACCACCTTCTCTCGCAGGGGAGGATTTCTAGCAGATGTTGTAGCCTACGTGATTGAGTCAGTTTTGCTACGACCCCTGGCTTTCCGGATTGCCATAATACCATTAGATTGGCAGCTCCCTTTGGGGAAGGTAGTTGG